AAGAGGTGGGTGGGTCCCAATTATCTTATGCACCTTATATAGCTCCAAAGTTACAATCTTTGGCATTAGGGTGTGGATTGATGCAGATTTAAAAAAAACATGCTTTATCCTGCAGAAAATTATGGACCTTTTTTTTGTTGAAATGTAACTATACTTGTTAAAAGGGTAGTTTTTGTTTTGTTGTGTGTTTGTTATCAATCTGTTGTTATTGTCATTTGAAGATTTGTGAGGTTCTTGCTGCTTTGGGTTTCAACTCTTAGGGATCTTGAAGTGAAGCTGTTCTTAAAACCTGTTTTTGATTTAGTAGTGTCATAAGAGTATGAGAAAAAATGCGGGTTATCATTCAGGAAGGATGCTTAGTGACAAGAAATGGATTATCCCGTTTTTCGCAAGTTTGTTGGTATCCGCTAGCTTGGTTCTGACGGTTATTCTAGGTGAATTTAGTTCTTTTGGTGAGGAAGAGCAGTTACCACTGTTTGATGTAATTTCACTCAACGGGCTAGAGGATAATTCCAGTGGATATTTTGTGGAGTCGGATTTGGAGAGGTCTCTTAATGGTAGTGTTGTTGTGAAGATGAAGGTACCTAAGTTTGCATACCTTATTTCGGGCACAAAGGGTGATAGTCGTAGGATGCTGAGGACATTAGAGGCAGTGTACCATCCGAGAAATCAGTACATTTTGCATTTAGATCTTGAGGCGCCGCCTCGGGAAAGGTTGGAGTTGGCAAATGCAGTGAAAGCTGATCCGATATTCAGGGAAGTGGAGAATGTGCGGGTTATGTCTCAATCTAATTTGGTTACTTATAAGGGTCCTACGATGATTGCTTGTACTCTTCAAGCTATTGCGATACTGCTGAAGGAGAGTTCGGAGTGGGACTGGTTTATAAACCTCAGTGCCTCAGATTATCCTCTTGTCACACAGGATGGTTAGTAATTGAACTTTTACCTGCTTCTTTGATGTTATATATGTTATTTCTGTAATTAAAATGCTTGCATAAACTATGGTGTCTTCTGTGGTATAAGGTTTGCAAATAAAATTGAACTTGAGCTAATGAAGTAAGTCTGCTTATCTTCCTTTCCTTTGTAATTCCCTTGTTTGGTTGTATTCATTATTCCAGGGAACTCTATTGCTTATCTTCCTTTTAAGTCTTCTATTAAGAGTCCCACATTGGACAATATGTGGCTTGAACATGTGTTTATAAGTAGAGACATTCCTCACCCTACATGTCGGTTTTGTATAGTTGAGTTAGGCCGAATCACATTTCATAACATCTTCAAACCACATTCATTCTAGTCTTAAGTATAGTTGTTTTCAATCATTCAAGCCCTAACCTTGATTAACCAAGGTGAAGACTTAAAAGTAAGACATTGCTTATCACCTATGTTATGCTCCCTGTATCTTGACTTATTTTAGTTGTTAACAATTATGTGTTCATTAGTATTAACTATATTACTGTCCGCATCACAAAAATACCAGCCGTTCCGCATCACAAATATGTCTTACTTTCAAGTCTTTCTGGTGAAGATATAAAAGTAAGACATTGCTATCACCTATGTGTTCATTAGTACCAGCCGTTCCGCTCCTTGCTCCCCGTTCCATTCCATTTTTGGGAATGGCCGCACCACGCCGTTTTCCGAGATTGACAACATATCACATCCTTTTGTTTCTGCTAGAGTTCTCCCAAGTGCCATTTTATGTTGATATTTGAGATATCTGTCTGGATATGAAAGTCATTTTTGCTGTTATACCAGATTACATTTGTGAGCTCCAACTTCTAGCTCAGATGCCAAACAACGCATTTTCAATATATAATCATTTTTTTTGAAAGGTCTACATCTTATTTTACACAATTTATGTGTCCTCTAATCTAACTAAGTCGATCTGCCTCCTTTAAAGTGAGTTTGCCTCTAAAGTGGGCAAGGGCTTATCAACCGTTGGTCCCACAAAAATTAAGGGAGTACTATTACTGATAGCTATTATTCCTATCTAAAGAAGGGAAAGTGTGTTATCAAAGGAAAATGGAAGAACACTACATAAACTCTAAGAGAAAATGCTACCGGCCAAGTTGAATACCAATGGCCCCATGCTGAAAAGGCGATGTCCAAATAGAAAACAAAGATGCCCCTCAAATATTACTTCCTTGCACATATAGCAAACTCCGTCGCTTTCCCCCACTATGTTCATGTAAAACAAAAACTCACTTTAAAGGAATGATTTCCAATCTAAGCAATTTCTGAATTTTCTCAGGAATCCCAGATTCATTCATGAATGTGTTTTGGACGTTGATTATAACAAGATTGGTGTTATCTTATATGGTCTGAAGTGTAAAACATTTGAGATAATTATCCTTCTGAATTTGATGGTTTAAGTTCATACTAAAAGTCTAAACTTGTCTTGGGAGATTGTCGCATACAAAATGCATTCAGTTTTGACCCTAACTATTTGCTTAGGGGCATTTGTAGTCAGCAATATACAAGTCTTCTGGTGTCAACTTCTTCTTCAGTACATATATCTTTATATTCGATCCGTTGCCATAAATGAAGATTCGTATCGTTCATCTCTTAATGTTCACTCCGCATTTGATTGAATTGCATACATTATCAACTTATACGAGCATGATGTTTACTCCTATTTTAGATTCTCTGTAAGTCACTTAATATTTGTTTCCTACGTGTGCAGATATGCTTCATGTTTTCTCTAATCTGTCGAGAGATCTCAATTTCATTGAACATACACACATTTCCGGTTGGAAATTGTAAGTGAAATTACAACATTGCATATTTGAAAATTGCTGTATTACCGCAATCCCCTCATTGACATTTCTTTCTATTACTGTGTATATGTTCAGGAACCAAAGAGCAAGGCCCATCATTATTGATCCTGCCTTTTACTTATCAAAGAAATCTGATTTGGCAGTGACTTCTAAGAAAAGAACACTTCCCACATCTTTTAAATTGTTCACCGGTATGTTTTGTTTCTAAATTTCATATACATTTATTCCTTTATTTCTACAACATACTTAAATTTCTGTCTATGCTTTGTAAACAGGTTCAGCTTGGGTTGTACTAACACGGTCGTATGTGGAGTATTGTATATGGGGATGGGATAACTTTCCGCGGACAATGCTTATGTATTATACAAATTTTGTCTCCTCGCCAGAGGGATATTTTCATACTGTTATTTGTAATACTGAGAAATTTCGGCATACTGCAATAAGTCACGATCTTCACTATATTGCGTGGGACAGTCCTCCAAAGCAACATCCAATCTCTTTATCTATGAAGGACTTTGATAAAATGGCTAAGAGCAATGCTCCCTTTGCCCGAAAGTTTGGAAAAGATGATACAGTCCTAGACAAGATTGACAAAGAACTTTTGGGGCGGGCACATAGATTTTCGCCAGGGGCGTGGTGTATTGGGACATCAGATGGTGGAGGAGATCCATGTTCTCTGCGGGGAAATGACACGGTGTTAAGGCCAGGACCTGGTGCTGAGAAGCTACACCAGTTGCTTCAGGTGCTGTTATCTGAAGAATTTACAAGTAAACAGTGTTTGTGACAATGGGGTACACTACTGATTGGATAATGGCAAGTGTACATAATATGGTTATACATCTGATTTTAAAAGTTAGAATTTTGTATTGAATAATATAAGTTGATAGTAAGAAGCAACAAGCACCCATAGTAGTAGTTTTTTTGGTGCTTGTTTCGGTTTAGTTTTGCGAATTCAAGTCAACCATTTATGTTATAGCAACCTTGTTATTTTTGTTGAGTTAAAAAAGACAATCAAGTTTCATCTTCGAAACAGATTCCTTTATTGATTATCTATTATCTTTTGGAGAAATTTTTATATAGCAATTCATGTTCGATGGACTTTATTCAACATTGAATGAATGGTCCAATCTGATTAGGCTTCAGATAGAAGCATACTATTTATTTATGCTAATTTCTTTCCTTGGGTTAGGACCAGTTTTGTACAGTTGAGGACATGTCTTTAATACAAACTTGATAGCATAATAAATCATTCACCAAACTTGTTTGCTAGGACATCATCAGTCATTAAATATGGTTCACTTTTTCAGTGGGTGCGCGTGGAATCAGGATGAAGTACTTTCACTTTAAGAATTTTTTGCTCCAATCAACTTTATTGCACTTGTATCAACATAAACTATTATTTTCACAATGTTAAAATGTTGATTGTCCAATTTATGCCATTGATGTTCACAATAATATCTGCTTGTGGCAAGTAGCTTTTGTAAATTTCTTTTACAGTCAATAATCTCAATATAAATGGGATATTGGGACAGTCAATAATCTCAATATAAATGGGATATTGGGACAGTGAAAAACAATGGTCTACCATACATAGTTCATGACAGACTTTCCAATTGTTTTTACAATTCCAAAAATAAAGAGAACTCGAGTTTCCTTCGCAGACCAGCTGTGACAACAACCTTTTTCCGCCAAAATCAACTTCATACTTTCCCACCAAGAACGGACTGCAAGGAAGAAGACTATATTTTGCAAATACACCAATGTAATCAAGAGTAAGTGGGTGGTAATGAAATTGCTTAAGTACTGTTTGGCAAAAAAATCTAAATTTTGAAAGAAAAAATGGATACTTTTACAAGACTATCACATAAAATCTCAGATCAATAGTTAAAAATTATACCAGATATTATTAATTTAATATGGAAATCACAACTATAATACAGTTTACCAAAAAGAATATTTTTCATGAAATAAATCACAAAACAGTAAGTTTGATTCAACAAATTAGTCAATTTATCTCCAAATTCTGTCTTGTCGTGATAAGCACTTATTTTAATAATTACTTGTTAAAATTAACCAGATTCTAGAAAAATGACCAGACATGTCTAATTTAATATATGCTCTATAATATCCATAATAATAAGTACAAATAATACATATTCCGAAGTATTCAATACTGCAACTTACCCTTCAACCATTTTTTTTTTACCATTGTAGCCAAAATCTGGTTCAAAACTGAGTGTCATTAGCCTCAGCAGGATAGCCTTTATAGTGGAGCTTGACATGCAATGAAGAACACATCATCTTGAACTTGAGCCTGAGGCTATCCATGATCTCCTGCACTTGTAGATCTTCAGGATCCATTAGAGGGTATTTGTGGATCAAGTCCTGCATCTGGGTGATAGCCGTTTTGGCCCGTGAAGAGAAGCAGGCTGGATCGATCTGGATGGCGGATGTCCAGATGTAGATGCAGCCGCTGTAGAAGCCAACTTCCTCACCAACCTCAAAACCGACCTTGAGCCCGACCTGCTTTCCCTCCTCCTTGCCCGCAACAAGGCCATCGCTGTAGCCTTCGTTGTAGCCTTCCATCAAATGGGTCTCCTCCAAATTCACACAAGAATCAAACGGATCATCCATCAGCACTCAACACCCAATGCACAACCTGTTAGGGCTGGACAAAATAAAAGCAACCCAAGTTAACCGACCGGACCGAATTCTATTGGGTTAACGGGTCAGGCGGGTGATTATTTCGGTTTAACATGGACTACTTTGGATCGGTTCGGATAGAAATATTGGACCCGGTCACTAAATCCGACCAAGTCCAATTAATATATATTACAAATATTACTATTGAGATAGAGCCTGATGCGAGCAAGCTAGCAGATGTTGCATGTGGTAAGCTAGTGAGTGTTAAAGAACCTCTTGAAAACTCATCCTTTACGGCGCCGTGATTGACCAGTTTGACCAGAATTAACAGAAGGCAACCCCTGCAATTTAGATAAATGATGCCTATGTTGTTGCTCAATAGAAAGGTCATTAGGTTCCTTTTTTACATATGAACCAGATGAAAACAAGCCAGAATTTTGTTCTGCTGAAGGTTGCCAAGAAGTTGAAGTCTGTTGTGGTGCTGTGATGTTCACACCAGTCGATGTTGTAAACAGGGCTGTTGAAGGTTGACGGCAGAGTGTGTTTGTTCGTGTTTTTTCACCGCGGTGATTGTCGAACAATCGCGTGTCGGAGCCTGAGATTCATGATTGAAGAAGAACAATGATTGTGCGAGAGAAGTATTTGCAGTGCGTGGTGGTTGCTAAGACTAACATTATTCATATTCTTCTTAGAACTTTTGTTATCACTTTTGTTATGTACCATGAAAATTAAGTTCTGCATAATGATTTTGCAGGTCATGCTGCTGTTACTTCGGCTGTTTTTTGCAAGTTACGGCACTATTATGGAGCACATAAATTAGAGGAGCATGGTGATGGGCAATTCTGGATCAATATGACAATACCAACCTGCGTTAATTTGTATGTATGCGACCACGGTTGAGCCAAGACTGTCATGCTCGTTTGTTCAGAACATCATTCGAACCTAGACTCGGGCGGCGCTTAAGTAACGACGGTAGAATATTCGGTCAAAACATGGATGCTAGACTAGGATCAAGATGTATGTCTCAAAGAGATGCTTATCCATCAAGAATATCAGTATTAGACGAAAACCAAGATGTAAGTCACTCTTATTTCAATCATCAATGACAATAGTTTGAAAATTTTAAGCATGTATGAGACTTTAATTTTCTTCTTTGATTGAGTTGTTTTCAGAATGGCATGGAGAGAGATATAAATAGATTCAAACAAGAGAAAAAGTTAACAAAGAAGTGTAGGTCAGCGTCGGTTGGTAGAGCAGTCGGTTCTGCGAAACAGAAGGTAATTAATTACTTACATGTTTCGAATTCTAAGTCAAATGGTATAGCTTTCAGAAATACTACACTGAGAATGAGAGTTAAAAAAAATGATAACCGGTGTTTGTGATTCAGGAAATGCAAGAAGAATTGATTAGAGAAAAAGCTAGGCTTATTGAACAGGCTGCATTGGATTTAGAAGAGATCAAGCAGAAAAAGCTTGATGTCCAAATTGGTGAAGGTGGATATGGACCTGTTTTCAAAGGAGTTCTTGATAACACTGATGTTGCAACACATATGTTTTCAGTATTCACATATGTACTAATGGCTATAAGTGGTTTAATTTCCAACACAAACTTGACTTCTTTCATTGCATCAGGTTCTTCTTCTTCAACCACTCACCTGGTTTTCTCTTTTTTATTCATTATGGTATAATTTGTTTAGAAATTAGTTTGAATTTTGTTCTTCTGAAACCCTATAGGTTTGAATTATGTGGATCACTATATTTTAAACTAGACTTAAATGCAGTTTTGATCTCTTTATATCAACTGATTCACAGTTTTAGTTCCCTCATCTCTAAATATGTTTTTAGTGTCTTTATTTTGAAATTGGCAGGAAATTATCAATTGAGAAAGGATCTATCACTTCAAAGAGGAAGCATTTTTAGTGTTCGTCATGGTGGCCAGATTGCAAAGAACCTCTTTGCAAGAAAAATAAGCCATATTGAACAAAGAGAAGTATATGGACTAGGAGTAAGAAAGCTTAGTAAGCTAAATAGAGGCTGCGTTCATTACAGGTCAGAGGAGTATTATGACATTGATGAAACAAAGGTGGTTCCTGTGGTATCTGATGAAGGAACAGGCGAGGCAATTCAATTGGAAGGAAATGGTGCACTGGTTTCTCCTTGGTGGCGGCGGCTTCCTAAGCGCTGGCTTATCGTATTGCTGTGCTTTACTGCATTTCTTCTATGCAACATGGACCGTGTGAGTATCTTGTTTTGGTAATCACAGTTTAAATTACTATGTGTATGTTAGGATTGGTGGTGGATCATCATTAGTGTAGCTTTTACACTACCGTTGTTCTGTCAAATTCACCGTTAATCAAACATACACTATGTCATTTATATGTCCGTGTTTGCCATGTCTCAAGTTTCTGATATGTGTCGTCGTAGACTATATAGACTCTTTTATATCATAAATGTTCTTTCTACTATTGTAATATACATGTAAATATGAGCATAGCGATACTTCCAATGTTTTTGTACTATTTTTTCTTCATGTTTAAAATCAATGTGTTATTTATACGTTTCTTTTATTTCTACCCATATCTTTATGTTGCAGTGATAATGATTTACAATTGTCCTCGTTTGAATTAACATAGCTAAGATAAAGTTGAGTGTTGTTACTGTTATTATGATGCTTCAATTTCTATTTTAACTTATAGTGACAAGCTTACCTTATACTTCATGTTTCTGTCTTGTTTAATGTTTGTGTTTATACTTCATGTTTCTGTCTTGTTTAATGTTTGTGTTTATCATAGCATATAACGTTAGTATTTTTCATTTTTTATTTCAAATTATAATATAATGATGCTTTGTCCACTCAATTGTATATTTAGGGAACAATTTGATATTGCAAATAAGGAAGCCATGGATGACTGGAGGTAGCTAGGTAGGGTGAATATGTGTTTTAAAGAACTTTCAGGGGTATGTGTTCTTTTATTAAGATTTTTATTTTCTATCTTACAAATTGAATGATCATAATAGCATCAAGAAGTAGTGAGGTTTATTTTCAGGGGTATGTGTTCTTTTGACTATGATTTCCATTTGTTCTAAATTGGTTTTATTGATATTTTTGGTTTGATTTCAGAAAATTTGATTGGGAAAGGAGGAAGTAGTGAGGTTTATAGAGGCTGTCTTCTTGATGGAAAGGAAGTTGCTGTCAAGATCTTAAAGCCTTCTGAAAAAAAGAAATAGTAATATCTTTCCTTATATAGAAATGTTATTAGTTTGTTTCCTCAAAAAAAACAGAATCAAAGTGAACCGAACCAGAACTCAATTAGAATCAAACCTGATTTTCTTCAACCCGAACCAATTACAGCTGGTTTTAAAACCAGTCTAAAAACTTGTTCAGTTTGTAAGAGCCAGATTAAAAAAAAACTAGTCCAAGAATTAATTCCATTTTAAGAACCGATTGTCATGCTCTAATAGATAGGTCTCAAGCTGGTCTTACAATCAAGTAAAAAATAAAACAGTTACCAACAATAAAAAATTTGGGTCATCTACTTCATTGACTTGACTACATTTAAAAAATCCATCACTAAAATTTAAAGTTGAAATAATCAAATATGGAAAGAAAGCATCATATATAAGCTTTTTTCAAATTTATATACGATATCATCACAGAATATTAGCGCAGGTGTGAAGGAAAGTTTTTTTCTTATTGCAAAAAGTATCATAGAATATATGATCTATAATTTCAAACCTTAAAGTTTATCCTAGGTCAAACTCATCTTCTAATACCTAGCCTAGGATTGCCTATTTCCCCTCTACCAACCATAATATTATACTTTCTTTGTTGAATGAAACAATTGTTTTTTAAATAATAATATGAAGATTTTAACAAAGTACTCTTATTTCTATTAAAAAGAAAAAAAATGCAGTGAATATCAAATGCAAATTTTTTTAATGTTTCACACATATTTCCAATTAATTCTATTTGATAGAGATGTCCTACCGGTTGGCTTCTGTTTTGTCCTAGCTAAACACATATTTTCCTGAATTGAATCTCATTAAATTCCTAAAGCAAGAAAGGAGCATTCAAGGCCAAATTATCCTTCACAGAAAGGGAGCAAAAGGACACCAATGAAACCTGAATTAACATTTGCGTCTTTAAGCTCATCTGAAAAATCTATTAAAAAGAAGAAAAAAACACAGGGAAAAATTGATGTAACAAACAAAGAAAAACATAAAATCACATAAAGAAAATATTAAACACAAAAATGAATATAAGTACAGTATAATTATAATTTAACGTTAAAATATAAATTTAAATAAGTTAGAATATTCGTTGAAGTTACAACATTAGAAATTTGTTTTAGTTTTGGGTCATGTTTTGGGTCTGAGTTATATTTTCGACCCAGTTGGAATTTGAACCGGATCCATTGTTTGTCTTTTTAAGGAGAACTCTTGTTACTGTTCACATTAGTCAATTTTCACGAAAAAATAGAGAAAAAACATTTGAGAAGAACTCATGGAGAACTAATACCTCCGGGCAAATCCTGCTGTGTACGGTTTCAACACTTTGAGGTTATTATTATATCAATTTACACGCAAATCCTGCTGTCTTTTTAAAATTCGATTTTATTTTATTTTTGAAAAATTCATTTTTTGTATTTATAAAAAAATTATGAAGTCGGTTTTTTGTATTTTTTATATTTTAAAAAAGTCGGTTTTTTTTCAGGAAAGTTTATTTTTTTATTAAAAAAAATTGTTTTTTTAAAAAAAAAAATCGATTTTTTTCGAAAAACTAATCAGTTTTTTATTTTGGAAAAAAAATCGATTTTTCACACAAAAAAAAACAATTTTTTTTTCACAAAAAAAAGCAGATCTTTTTTCAGAAAAAAAACAGATTTTTTTTTTCGAAAAAAAATTGATATTTTTTAAAAAAAAATTACAGTTTTTTTATTGAGAAAAAACAATTTTTTTCTTTTAAAAAATTTATTTTTATTTAGATTTAAAAAAATCTATTTTTAATTATTTTTAAAAAAATAATATAACAAAAATAAAAATAATCCATTGAATTCTCAAAATATGTTGGATGGATTGAATCCATCCATACATATAAATGGATGAATTTAATCCAATCCATTAACTTATTTTTTATATGGTGGATAGATTAGATGAATTTTTTGATGAATGGATTGGATGAATTTTGTCTTAATGGATTCTATTGCCACCTCTAATCTATATAAGATGTCACAGAAAGAATCACAAAATGCAATATTTTATCTATCATTACTTGTCGTAGCAGTATTGACTTTGACTTTGACATGAAGGAATCTGCATTAACATGCACCACTGCTTTAGTTAGAATATTCCTTCTAATAATGACTCTTCAAATTATTGAGAAACAAGAAGGTTCTATTGCACAAGATGCTTTAGTAGGAAGTTTTTAGAGAATTTTGGTTGAATACATTAGCAACTTGACTTGGAAACTTACACTCTTCATTTCATTATTCACAAGCAAGATAAAATTTGAGATCTTGAGAGGAGCACACTATTAGGTCTCGAGCTTTCACCAACATGCCAGCACCTAGAGATTATTAAAAGCATCTTGTGATCAATTGAGAAATGGCTACTGTGAAGTCGACCATGCATTCCAAAATTATTCTATTATATGAACACTCTCTGATTCTAACACTCAAAGTTAAAACTCTTGTCTCATGCATTTTGAGATATTTTTTTTCATTATTCTGCTCATTTCATTGTTGTCTCAACCCTAAAAAAATACTGATTACTCAAATCTTCAAATTATCATATAATCACTATTAAGGTAGTCAAAATCGAGATCCTATGCAGGATCAGAAAGGGATCACAAGATCGTGAATCAGAGTATCGTAACATGATTGTAAGATCCTACCAATTTCACAAACTGATATATATTGCATATATATTCATATAAATAAAACATAATTTAGTAAAAAAATTCAAATCATACCCAAATTAAAGGAGAAAAGTTTAAAAGGTGTATGTACATAAGAAAGAGAAGGGCTTAAAGGGTTTGTACTGAATGTGAATAAGAAAAAAATAAAAAGAGTGATGCAGGAATATTTAAACTTTAAAATTTTTAAAATACTTGAGAATAATAGGTTTAGAGAATAAATAGGTAGGTGATATATTGGAAAGTTTAAAAAAAATGAGTGCATTGGAAAGGTTTTAAGAAATTAATTGTAATTAAGTGTAAGAAATAAATGCGGCACCGGTTCCAACTAAAAATAACCCTATTTGAAAGTTTTAGAACTGTAACGGAAGAAACGAAGATTCTACAGCTCCAACCGTTTTTGCACTGCGATCCCACCGTTACCATTTAAATCCGAGTTTTTTTCCTTCACAGGATCTCCAAGCCTATCAAAGATCGTAAAATCCTACGATCATAAGAGTAGAATCGCGATTTTGACTACCATGATCAGTATGATTGATCCGCGGTCGCTCGCGGATAAAAAACGAGTGATTTGAAAAACGTAGTAAAAGCGACAGTAACTCGAGTCGCATCGCAAGGATTCTTGTAGGAATAATCAATTACAGTAACAAATTATGGGGGTTTAGGTTTATGATTTAGAAAGAGTAATTAACAAAAGAAGTGATTAAAAATATAAGCTGAAACGACTAATCTACTGTTTTCGTTTCCCAACTTATCATCGATCCTAATAATTCCCAATTCCTAAGCGGATTCTATCACCTTTCCGATTATAATAACAATCAACAAGCGCAATTGATATTATACGATACACGTTCCTAATTTCTTAATTAAGCAAACAAATAAAATATAGTAACCGTGAATTAAGCAAACACGAGAAACATACGCGGATTAAGCAACCACGATTAAAGTATAAGAACATGCAATCATCGAAATAAATCAATCATCCCTAAGATAAATCGAATTAAGCAAACAAAATATCATAGAGAAGAATTGAAAGGAAATAGATTTTATTGGAAATTAAAAGAACCTCAAAGTGTTGGCGGGAACCGATTACAGCAGATTAATCCGAAGGAATTAATTCTCCATAATTCGTACAAAGCTCCAACAATAATTTTTGTGAATAGTGAATACGTGAACAGTACACACGTTCTCCTTAAAAAGATAAAAAGTGGATCCGGTTCAAAACCCAACTGGGTCGAAAATATAATCCAGACCCACAACAAGACCCAACACTAAAATAAAATTCTAATGCTGTAACTTGAAACGAAATTCTGCAATTTTGAGCTCCGAATCTGACTTTGACT